AGGGTACAAGACGTCGGTTGTTTGCCCGCAGTCCTCCTGGCATCACCTAACCAGGGAAGGGTCTGCTTTATTTACACTGTGTCACTGGGTGGAGGGGCCGGGACACAGAGGAGCCATTTTCTGAACAGGGCTTGACTATTTCTAGCGGCCTCTTTACGCCAGACACAAGTCCTTAAAAAGGAATCCACAAGGACAAAAATAATGCCAAGAAATCATAACTGGCCATGGGCTCGACTCATTGAGCTAAAATGATAGTCATCTGTCACAAAGAGAAGTGACTTTACCAATCACCTCGATACAAATAAAGATTGCCCCAATGATCGGACTGCAACATTGTAACTTTTTAGCAAGTCACAAGGTGAGAGGAAGCAGCAGGGGCTAATTTGTGTCAAACATAGATTAACACAGCCAAGAACTGCACAGACACCAGGATTTCCATCATTGTGTCATCTGTGAGCCAGCATCTCAGTCCAGGAAGTAGATGGTGACCCTGGATGATGCTTGAACAAAGATGGTGCTGTCTTTCTGGAGATAAAAGCTGATGAAAGCATTGTCAGGGGGAGAACCGGGATCTCTGTGAGAGGTAATAAAGAATTGAAAATGTAGCACTGACACATTACTTAGCAGGCATGGCCCTGAAAAATGATAACATGCTCCCTTTATTAAAGGTATAATCTGATTGGTCGATGTGGGTAGCACATGCACTTTGCTTGGAGACCGTTTTTACACATGAAGCTCATTGTGACTCTGAAAACCGCAAGCCATTGAGAAATATCTGACATACAAAGCACCGTTATTCCTGCGCACTCTCTCCCCCCGCCCCCCGCAGAGCTGCAGATCGGGGCTTGCACGTCAGGCACCTGAGCCGTCTCTTTGTCTGCTTTAAAGCGACCTGCGCCAGCGATGATCAAAGCCGGAATGCAGGATCCCACCCCTAGAGCCTCTTCCAGGGGCCCCGGGGCACAGGTGAGAGTCCCCGTCTGACGATAACATTGACCTCCTTGTATGACTTTCACAAGTGTCCACATTCAGGGACGAGGGTCTCCTGCCTGGTCTCCTGGCAAAGGGGGCCACAGCAGGCCCGGGCATATAGGTAGGTAACAGAGGCTTAAAGAAGAACTCTGGGCACGTACAAAACTACCCTCTGCAGTGGGGCTACCCCGCCATGGAAGGGTTAAGTGCTCATCATGGTCTACAGTCTACTCACCCCACCCTCAGTCTCGTGGCAGTGACCTCATGAGGACACAGAGGGTGCGTCCCTCAGTGTCCTCATATCCAATGCAAGTGAATGGACGTGATGATGTCACAGGTCATTAGACCGTCACAGCGCGGAGGGGGGAGAAGAAGCTGTGGTGATCGGTCTAGCAGCCAGGCATGATCGAGGATCAGGTGAGTGTATCTGCTTTATTTTACACCCTAGAGCAAAATTAACCCTTAACCCTTGCAGTTCTAAACACATCACAGCACCCTGCCCCAGTACTGCTCTCAATAGCCCTCAGCCCTAATGCAAGCAGTGGGCTAGACCTTGGGAGGAGTTATGCAAATATCAAAATGCCTTGATGGGTGGATGTCAGTCTGGAGGAGTGGGCGTTCATAGGCAGGCTTTATTTGCATAGGTAACGCCTACATGTGATGCTGAACCTCCATGATTGAAAGAACTGAAATCCAGGGAATGAAAGGGGCGGGACTAGGCAGTGGAGTCACAAAGGGGGTGCGGCCCGCACCCGGGTGACACCATTGGAGGGGTGACTCACAGTCAAATGACACAGTCATTTTGGTGTCACCCCCCCTCTGAAAAGTCGGGCGCTCGGTCATGGGGACCTGGCGGCATACCTCATCCCGCCAGGTGACTGTCCCCTCTTCTATCTGCCAGCGTCCATCACCAAGATGGCCGCCGGCAGGTATCAGAATACTGCCGCGCGTGCGCGATGACTTCATCGCGCACGCGCGTGGTGACGTCACCCGCTTGCGCAGTGACGTCTCGGCGGGGTGACACTCGTTTACCGCTCCGGGTGTCACCCAGCCTCGGGACGCCCCAGGGGCCAGGGACTGTCAGGCTGGGGAGGAAAGCACTAGATGATGCTGGATGTCCTCCAGCCAGGAAATGAGGCTGTCCGTCTGACTTGCTGCAGCTTCTAATGGAGGGAGGAGTCTATCTGACTCGCTGCAGCTTCTAATGCACATTGTGAGAAGCTCGCAGTGTGCAGAGTTTCAAAGAATAATTTACAATATTGCTATTGTGATGGAGTGGGTTTAGAAAGGACTCAGATATATGTACTTAATAAATATTTATTTAATTATAATAAAAAAATCCCATAGTAAGGAAACGTCCTGCAATGTTTTATCCATTGCCCACATCTCCAGGCACAAATGTTTTTCCACTTATCCGTATTGTTAAAGGCAACACGGAAAAATACGTGATTTTTTTTTTTTAAGCTTGAGGAGCGTGCTGGAAAACGAATCGCCTGTGAACGAAAAAAGTGAATCGTGAAATCACAACACACAAAAAAAAGTGCACAAGGGTGCTATGATCCTTTCTAGTGAAAGGGCCACAATTTTCCTGATCCTACGGGGCGCAAGGCTCCTGACAGGGACAACAACGACTCAGGTCCACCAACCCGAATGCCGGCGGACCCCGATCCTCCGGGACCTGCCCAGACAGCTCCTCCGAGTACTAGGTTGGGAGCTCCCCTGAAGGGAGACCCCCAGGTGGGAGGAGGCAGAGGGGCCCATGTGTGGTGGGCCCCTCTGCCTCCTCCCACCTGGGGGTCTCCCTTCAGGAACCTCCTCCCAAACTTCAGGAACAGGCCCTAAAGGTACCTGCACCCTCCGTCCTCTGTGAGAGTCAAAGTGCCAAATTGTGCATAAAAAAAAGTGCATAAATAATCTAGTGTCAGTGCACAAAGTTGACAGGCCTTAGGGGCCGAAGTGCCCCAGGACTAGCCAAAAGGCGTAGTGCAGAAAAAACGAGTAGGTGCCGTGACCAAGTGCACAGTGAATCACTTGTGGGGTCCCACACCCTAGTGATTTTCTGGCACCCCTGGGATGCCTACCTCAGGCGGCACAGCACCACGGGCCTCTGCCGCCCCCGAACCCTCCGGCCAGACAAATGTAACCCCATCCCTACCACAAGGCATTAGTACCGGCGAATGTTCTGCTTACAACTGGGGACAAGCCCGGCGTAACCGGACCAGAATCAACCCAGGAGGAAAGGAAACCCCTCCGGCACCCACCTATCACATGAGGGAATACTAAGCCACCATCCCCCGGTTCAAGGATGGTGTCCTTCTCCCCAAAAAACTGATACTATACTTATTTATTCTTATTGTAAAGCCTGTGGAGCGCGCTCGAAAACGAATCCCCTAGTGAACAAAAAAAGTGAATCGTGAAATCACAACACACCTAAAAAAGTGCACAAGGGTGCTTGGCCCTTCAATAAAGAAGGGGCCACAGTTTCCCGACCCCCCCGGGGCTCATGGCTCCTGACAGGGGTTGAGACGACTATGGTCCACCAACCCGAAGGCCGGTGGACCCCAATCCTCCGGGACCTGCCGAAACAGGTCCCACAAGTTCTAGTTTGGGGGGATCTCCCAAAGAGAAACTCCTCACAAGTGGGAGGAGACAGAGAACCCTATATGAGGGCACAGAATCTCGTCCCCAACGTCGGGAAAAGGCAGACGAAGGTACCTGCACCCTCAGCATCTGTGGGTCAAATTTCAATCAAACAGTGCCAATCATGCATGAAGTGCAATAAATAAATCTAAAGTGCCAGTGCACCACGCTGGCAGGCCTTAGGGCCCGGAGTGCAAAAATATTGCGCCGGACTAGCCATAAGGCCTGCCCAAGAGGCGTTGTGCAGAGTATGCAATGAGTACCGTGTCCATGTGTCAGTGAATCAGTGTTGGGGTCCCACACTTAATGTGATTCTCTGGCACCCCTGGAACGCCACCTAGGGGGGGCACAGCACCACGGGCTCTGCCGCCTCCCAACCCTCCAGCCAGACCAAACAAGCACCCATTCCCATCGGAAGGTAGCACCTTCAGAGATCCCTCCACTGTGATCAACCCTATACCCGGGTCTAAAACCACAGCAGACTTGAACCTCCTACAGCACCCACCAATTACCCCAAGAATTAGTAAGCCGCCATCTACCCCTCTCCATAGGCGACGGCGGCCGCTCTGTCCCCTACAACTGATAAGAACAGATACTACACTTGATCTTAGCCAAAAGGCCGAGAAGCGATTTAAAAAATAAGTGATGCTGCAGGCTGTGAACAGGGAATGCCAATCCCACAGAGGCAAGACGGAGCCGATCCTCTTCACTGCTTCGTGGAGTGGAGATTGTTCACACTGCGGTGAGGAAGGTTCTCGTAGAATAGTAAACAACGCAATGTTGTGTTCAGTGTGAATGCCGTGAAAAATAATGAAGAAGGGGAGTCACCCCGAAACGTCGTCCTGAGAGACCTCATTACCTCCTGCACTGCCTGGGTGCGCTGTGCCATTTCCTCTACATATATACAGACCCATCATCTGAACAATGTAACATTATCATTTCTTGCTGGGAGCAATGCATGATGGGATATGTAGTGTGGAGAAATGGAGATTGCATCACATCAAGCAGCAGGGAGAGAGATGCAAAGCACACTGGGAATCCAGGAAGTTGTTGGAAGTGATGGGCAGACGGAAGGCAGCGCTCACTACATAAAAGTAAGCTTTGATTGTATTATCAGAAACAACTCTACTATGTATTCCTATTACAATGCTGATGTTATAACAGGGAAAAATTGAAAGTTACCTACCCGCCACCACTACGAGTCCTGGCAACATCGCGGACAGGATGGACACTTCTCACCAGTGACCGAGATGCTGCGACTTCATTAACCTCACGCCGGATTATGGGATCCTCTGGGAGCTGCGGCGGAGCTGGCGGAGAGATGGAGTTCATTGTTAATTTGGCAAGGATGAGTGTAACTCGCTGCAAAGAAAATATTTTTCTGTCTCCAATCAGACATTGGCTGCCAGTCTCAGGCGCCCCAGTGGTTTTCGCACAACTCAGATCCCCTCCTTGTTCTTTGAGATGTACGAAAAGAAAAAAGAACTAGGTATGGAACGTGTGCGGGCCGAGGTCCTGGACGGGGGCAAAGGGAAGTATCGTTAGATTTAAAGAAGCACGTGAGAAGTTTATTTTTATAAATGCTGAAGACTTCTCTTAAAGCTGCATTCCAGGCAGATATAAAAGACACCAATTAATGTAGCTCTGTACTCATTAATACATCATTCAATGCATGGATCTGACTTCTCCTGTACAGCAGGGCTCAGGCTGGGAGAAAGAGAAGCAGCACAAGGAATTGCTGCAGAGCGGGGAGCACTTTCCACCGATCATCAGTATCTACGGAGCCTGGAATGGGCAAAGTAGTAATAATTCATCTCTGGTAACCCGTCACCCTTCCTCGCTGCTGATCAAGATTCTGCCAGAGATGGAGGATTGTCCGGCAGCTATAACAGGGTTCTCTTTGGTGAATCTGCTGCTGGCGAGGTGTCACTACAAGTTCCAGAATGACCCGTGTGATGTCATCCTTACCCAATGTGCTCACTGGCAGAAACCACCGGATGATCTATGCTGTACTTAGAGTGCTATGAAATAGTGAAATTATATCAAGGGGGGCAGGGAAGGAAAGGCTGGGAAGGCAAAGAGAGGGAAAGAAAGGAAAGGGAAGGAAAGGAATGAGGTAGGGAGGGAAGGAGAGGAGTGGGAAAAAAGGAGAGGAAGGAAAGGAAATAAGGGAAAAAAGGTGGGGAAGTAAAAAAAAAAAGAAAGAAAAGGGAAGGAGTAGAAAGGATGGGGAGGGAAGGAAAGAAAATGAATGGAAGAAAGAAGGGAATGGGAAGACGGAAAGTCAAGGGAAGGAACGGAAAAAGTGAGGGAAAGGGAAGAAAGAAAACGAAAGGGAAAGGAGAAGGAAGGGCAAAGGAAGGGGAAAAAAAGTGAGGGAAGGAAAAGAGAGGAGAGGAAAAAGAAAGGGAAAGGAAAAGGAGAAGGAAGGGGAAAGGAACGGAAGAGGAAAGGGAGACGGGAGGAGAAAACAATTGGATAGTAAGAAAAAAAAGTGGAGGAAAAGGGAAGGAAGGGGAGGAAAGAGGAGAAAGTGAAAGAAAAGGAAAAGGAGAGGAGAAGGAAGGGGGAAAAAGCGAGGAAAGGAGAGGAAAAGGAAAAGGGAAGAAGAAAAGAAAAGGGAAAGGAAAATAAAGAGGAAAGGAAAAGGAAAGGAAGAGGAAAGGGAGAGGGGAGGAGAAAACAATTGAGTGTTAATAAAAGAAAGTGGAGGGAGGAAAAGGGAAGGAAAGGAAAGAAAGAAAAGGAAGGGGAAAATATGGAAAAGAAAGGCAAGAAAAAGAAGGGAAGAGTATAGAAGGGAAGGAAATCAAAAAGAAGGAAACTGGGGGAAAAGAAAGGGGATGGAAAGTGAAAGGTATAGAAAGGAGAACAATATACTGAAGATAAAAGGGAATTCAGGAGAGTTAAACAATATAAAAGGACAAGAAAAGTAAAGCAAAGGAGAAGGAAGTGAGATGAAAAAGGAAAGGAGAGAGATAAAAGGAAATAACAAATGAAAGAAAATGATGGACGGGGAAGTGAGAGTGGAGGTGATGGAGATAAAAGGGGATGAAGGAGGAAGAGTAACGGATAGGAAAAGAAGGCGAAGGATGACAGGAAAGGTAATCAGAATTCCACATAAAAGGAAAAGTGGAAAGTGACGGTTTGCAGAGACGAGGAGAATTTGGCAGAGCTGGAAGCTGTGAACACACACAGAGTCCGCAGAGCCCGGGGGTCCCATGAAGTGACAGGTGTCCTTGCACGGTGCTCCCCCCCAGACTCACCCCCTTGGCTCTGTCACACAGCGGACGCTCACCTCAGTATAAGGATCCGATCTCTGCCGTCAGCTCTCTCACAGACAGTCTATGGGAGCTCAGCCTCAGCCAAAAATCTCCTGTCAGGAAAAAACGGTTTGGAGGGAGTGCAGCTCCGGAGTGTGTGGCAGAGACAGAAGTTTCCACACACAGGCAACTGTACATACAAAGCAGGAGTGTTCCCAGGCTGCCTGTGCAGTAATGTGAGGGTGGGTACTAAGCCACAAGTCCACTCATGTTACACTGTGTCCCCATTATATTCACACACACTTGTGTCATGTTGTCGTGTGACACCGACGGCGGCGCAAAGAGCAACAGCAGCGTGCAAAGTGCTGACAACCAATCCAAAAGCTGATCTGGTTCTCAGACTTCTAATTGGTTGCTATGGGTTACTGCACTTTGCACATCATGACTCAATAAACTCAATAAATGATGGTCTAAGATTAGCTTAAAGTGTATCTAAGGCCTCATTCACACTGCCGTACAATATGCTGCGTATGGAGCCGTATATGTGCGCTGCTTAAAGATGCGCAAAAACAGAATGGACCCGAGATGAGTTCGTGCAACGTATTTCTGCGTGTGCGTGCGTATAAGCACGTACAGTTCATTAAAACTTCTATTACGAATGATGCATTCTGGGATAGAATAAAGTGCACGCGTATACGCGTATCTACGCAATATTCAACTTTGCTCTTGCGTTGTGTGTGCATGAGGCCTTAAAGAAAATGTAACATATTTCACCTTACCAGTGCTTACATGTGTTGGCTGCATTCGTTTTCTTTTTTCACCCCGGCTGATCCATCCTGCCAGTAACACTCATTCACCCGTCTGTAGCAGGACAACAGAAACAGGGGCGTGGTTCTGCAGTCTTCAGAAATGACATGTGCTAAGTTCTCTGCCTGTACTGAATGTTATTAAAGGAGAACTATGAGGTGAGTGCTTTTCACTCACCTCATAGTTCTAGCCGACCTGTGACAATGAGACTGTCACAGGTCGGCTCAGTAGATCGGGAGGTGAGCGAACACATACCGGCGCTCGCTCACTTCTCGATCCTGTCACGGCAGAGAGCTGTGACAGGGGAGTGACTGGATTCCCCCTCCCCGCTCCGATCTGCCAGCGCTGACTGGCGGATCGGACAGGGGAGGGGGCGTTTACAGCTGGCTCTGCCTCTAGATAGGCAGAGCCAGCTGTCACTCACGAAGCTGGGCGGATCCAGACATAATTGTCGGGATCCGTTTCAGCTGCGGCGTCTCAGTATACCGCGAGCTGTAGCTCCCGATATACTGAGCTTGGGGTAACGGGAGGACGCTCGTTTGTGTCCTCCCGTTACCCTAAGGAAAACTATGGGGAAAAGCCCTGACCCCATAGTTCTCCTTTAAATACAATGAAAGCGCCCAGGAAATGTACTTTACATCATTGTTACCCTCCTCTGCAATGTAAAGTGTTACTTCATACTCCAGCCTGTCCTGTCCTGTGCACAAACGCAAACTGCGCTTGCATTGCCATTCATTTCTAATGCTACCCCAATCGCCACTAGCAATCCGCTCGGTTGCGTGCTGTGGTTGTCGCGGTGCAATCGTGCACAATCGCGGCCGCAAAAAAACGCGGGTCGTTCATCGCACAAAAAGGCGCATGAGCCTTTTTGCCGCGCATATATATGACCCTATTGACATCAACGGGGGCTGCGCTGCCATCACGGTTCTGGGACGTGCGGTCCTAGGCTGCCCGAATGTAAACCAGACCTTACTGTCCGTATATGTAGAAATGTTATTTGTATGGTGCACTCTATGTACTGACCCCTGCTCAGTGTTACAGGTCATTACTCCTGGACCTCTGTCTCCTGAGGAAGCTGGCTGAGGTCCTGCGAAACGCGTAGAGAGAAAAAAAGCAAACTGTAAACCAGCTTTGCACAATGACACAATCAACCATGTTCGGTGTAAACTGATGCACAGCGAGATGTGTAGAGAGATCCCTATTCTAATGATCGTGGTTTGTACAGGACAACTTTCTTGTTTTGGTTCAGAATCAGATTCACTGGCCGCAAGAAGATGGAAGATTTTGTTACAGATACAAAGAAATAGAAATCAACATTTCACCAACAACGCAGAGTGAGACAGAGAGAAAGATGATGAGAAAAGAAAGGGGTTGGAAAGGATGGGTGGAGGGGGGAAGGAAGGAACGAAGGAAGAAAGTAAGGGTGAGGGGGAATAAGGAAGGATAGAAAGGCGGGGAAAGGCATAGAGTATAGGAGGCAGGAATGATGGCAGGGCGGGAGGAAGGAAGTAGGAAAGGAAGGAAGAAAAGGAGGAAGAAAGGCAAAGAGGATAGGGGTGAAGGAGGAAGGGAAAAGGGAAGGTAGAGAGGATAGGAAGGAAGGAAGGAAGGAAAGGGGAGGATGGCAGGGAGTGGGGAAGGAAATCAGGGAGGAAGGAAGGGGAAATACGGGATATAAAGGCGGGGAAAGGCATAGAGTATAGGAGGCAGGAATGAATGATGGCAGGGAGGGAGGAAGGAAGTAGGGAAGAAAGGAAGAAGGAAGAAAGGCGGAGGGAGGGAGGAAGGAAGGAAAGAGGAGGATGGCAGGGAAGGAGGAGGAAAGGCAAAGAGGATAGGGGGGAGGGAGGAAGGAAGTGAGAGAGGACAGAAGGGAGGGAGGTAAGAAAAAAGGAAGGTAGAGAGGATAGGAAGGAGGAAGGAAGGAAAGTGGAGGATGGCATGGAGTGGGGAAGGAAAGCAGGGAGGAAGGAAGGGGAAATACGGAAGGATATAAAGGCAGGGAAAGGCATAGAGTATAGGAGGCATGAATGAAGGAATGATGGCATGGAGGGAGGGAGGAAGGAAGGAATGATAGCAGGGAGGGAGGAAGGAATGATGGCAGGGAGGTAGGAAGTAGGGAAGGAAGGGAAGGAGGAAGAAAGGCAGAGAGGAGGGAGGGAGGGAGGAAAGAAGGAAGGAACGGGGAGAATGGCAGGGAGTGGGGAAGTAAGGGAGAGGGGAAGGAGGAATAAAGACAGAGAGGATAGGAGTGACAGAGGGAGGGAGAGAAAAAGGAAGGATAGAAAAAAGGAAGGAAGGAAGGATGGTGGGGAGTGGGGACCAAAGGGAGGTAGGAAAAAAAGAGGGAACAAAAGGGAAGGGGAAGGAAGGAAGAGAGAAAGTGTAAAATTGAGTTTTTGTGTATCTGTAACAAATCATTGCGGTATTATCACAGGCACACATGAATACAATGTTATAATTTCCCTCATGTATAGATGTTCTTGTTTGGAGGCTGAATATCTCGGTCCAGGTTAAAGGAGGTCAGGTAAACCTCGATCGGTTGCTATGGGTGACAACATTCCCACCAAGTTTCAATCCTCCATCAGCCCCGGTGACCTTTCCTCTACACAAATACATTTGTTGTTCGCGGAGGTTTCATCTTCCGAGCAGTTTAGAGATTTTTATTTGCCCCTTTTATTCTGTTGCTGATAATTGCAGCTCCATCTCTCCCCGGGAGGAATGTGCGCGCCGCATCCAATCCTACAACTGGCTTCTGTTTCTAATTAAAGCTTCTCTGTGGAGAAGACCTAACACAGCCTGCCCCCTAGAGGAGCATCCCTGTCACTGCGCGACATTTAAAGGGTAACACCATATAATATAGTGTGTATAATATACCATCATACAAGTCTTTTGGAATCTGCAGAAGCCGTTCATTTATAAAGACCAGACACAGAATCGGTCAGGAAGCCAGGCAGCCTCGGCAAGTGAAGCCGGTGTCCTTTCGATAGAACAGCGGCTTCACAGGCAATCAGGAAGCCGGGCGCTGGCTCATGATCCGCTGCTCCACTTCCCGATAATCGAGGCACACAAGGCACCGGTACTCGGTATTGGCAAGTATCGGAAAAAAAATATTGGTACTCGTAGTCGATACCGAAAAAAACGGTATTGGTGTATCCCTACTTGGAAGTGTTGATGTTGGAATCTGTTATAATGTCTCCCTTAATCCCGCAGGTTGAACAAAGAAAATATATGTGTATACCCGGCTTCATACACTTCCTGAATGGTCAACTCAAAGAATGTTTCATTTTTTTAGGAAGGATTTAGGAATTTATCTATAGTTGTTATTTTTATCTGTATGTATATATTTTATTTGTATAAGTGATGAAAGAGGCGGCACCTTCAATGGTATCCACATACACCCCATATTACCAGTCAATCCAAAACTCAACACTTTAAAGCCAGCACCGCAATCTTGTTTCCGCCATGCTTCATTAGCGCACCATCCCCGTCTGTTGACGAATCCTTCACACAGCCATGGACACCACCGAACAGTCATGACGTTTCTTCTAATCTTCAGGAATGAGCCCCGAACCGTAACAAAGCCGCAAACGCATGACGGGAACACATGAAAGAAGCGCTATACCTTGAAGTCGCAGGTATTGTTATTTCACCCTCAGGGGGCCGATGGAGGGAACTTTAATATAAATGTATTTATTTCATTTCCTGTGCAGGTTAGTGTAAACATTTGGAGGGCTTCTATTACAAAGCGCTTCTTTCTTAAAGCTGAACTCCGGGCACGAAAACGTCCGTTTCAATCTGTTCCTCAACAGTTTCAAGAGAAATCTACTTTGTGAGCCCCAGATATTACTTTGTAAAGTAGTAGTGACTTCATCGCTGTGCTGGAGTGGACATAGCATGTGCAGAGAGCAGAGTTGTGGGAGAGGCCCACGTTGAACTATAGGAGGGGGCGGAGACAAGACCAGTCACCCTGCACAAGGAGAGAGAGCAGCAGTGAGCGGGCTTTATTACAGGAGGGGGCGGTGACAAGACTGGTCTGCTCACTACTGCCCTCTCTCTCATTGTGCGGGGTGACTGGTCTTGTCTCCGCCCCCTCCTGTAATACGGTCTGTATTACAGGAGGGGGCGGAGACAAGGCCAGTCACCCTGCACAATGAGAGAGAGGGCAGTAGTGAGCAGACCAGTCTTGTCACCGCCCCCTCCTGTAATACAGACCGTATTACAGGAGGGGGCGGAGACAAGACTAGTCACCCTGCACAAGGAGAGAGAGCAGCAGTGAGCGGGCTTTATTACAGGAGGGGGCGGAGACAAGACTAGTCACCCTGCACAAGGAGAGAGAGCAGCAGTGAGCGGGCTTTATTACAGGAGGGGGCGGAGACAAGACTAGTCACCCTGCACAAGGAGAGAGAGCAGCAGTGAGCGGGCTTTATTACAGGAGGGGGCGGAGACAAGACTAGTCACCCTGCACAAGGAGAGAGAGCAGCAGTGAGCGGGCTTTATTACAGGAGGGGGCGGAGACAAGACCAGTCCCCCTGCACAAGGAGAGAGAGGAGCAGTGAGAGGTCTTTATTACAGGAGGGGACAGAGACAAGACCAGTCACCCTGCACATGAGAGAGAGCAGAAGTGACTGTTCTTTTTTACAGGAGGGGGCGGAGACAAGACCGGTCACGCTGCACATATCTTTTATTTCTTCTCCACCTGCCCCTGTGACGCCTTGCATGGGGTGGAAGACTCTGTGCCATTGCACCACTCCCTTACAGCTCTAAAAACTGCTACTGCACAGCACCTCATGCTCATCAGCTTACAGCATGGGCACTCCCATTGCAAGTCTCATTTCAACTTTCAGCAGTGACATGGCAACTTCAAGCAGATGTAAACCCTAATTGAATGACGTTTCGTGTGTTGCAGCTCCGTGTATCATGAACGGCTGACATGTTATTTTTAATAAAATTCTTGTTATTTAAACTTCTTTTTTTGAATCCATTGTTGTATCTCACTGGTACCGATCTCCTGCATTGTCTCTGCAGCCACTTCCTGTCTACATGCGCTGTAGCAATGGACGCCTAACATTTCTCAGGACGGGGATCATCTTCTTATCTTCATGCTGAATTTTTTGGGGAGGTGCTAAATTTGTCAATTGTTCTCTTTTTTAAAATGTAAAATGTTCTTGAAGGGTCTGCTCCCATATAATACTAAGCCCCCCCCCTTGCCAAGGGTAGGGGGTCCCAAGTGGAACCAAATTGAGAACCAAGCAGAGGCGCAACTGCTGATAGCAGAGATCAATATGGTATTTTATTATAAAGGGGATATTATGGACCCACGAAACGCGTTGGCTGTTCTATTTTATGGATTTTAAAGAATAAAATACCATAGTGGACTCTACTTATCAGCGGTGGTGCCCTTGTTTTGTTCTACATTGTGTTGATTGACAACAGTAGATCGTGCCTGTGCAATGTTCAGCAGCTTGTAGTTTCCATTGGAAGAGCATATGGGATGGTGACAACTCCAGGGCACAATTGGGAGACAAGGACAAACCGTTGTCACCCTATTACAGGTAGTGCCTGAAGAAGGACCTTTGTGCTGGGATCACCAGAACACATTTATATATATTGAAAATGACATTAAAGTTCATATGAGATTCTATTATCGGAGTGTACTATGAAGGCCGATGTCTGGCAATTGCTCTGGCCGAACTGACACATGACTTCATTTTGACGCAAGACACAAAGTGAACCGCCTGGTGGATCTTTTTTTATATTTATTTGCTTGAAATACACATTTTATAACAATCTGCAAATACAAACATATGTCAGACTCACCTAGAACACACTGAATTCCAGTCGTCATTATTTTTTTTTCCTTCACAATGTCTTGGAGTAGTTGGTGACCTTCCAGGGTCACCGGGGTACAAACATGGTCATGGATGACACAGCCTAAAGTAGCTGATCTGGTTTCCTGTACACAGACTATAACCAAATATAAACATACGCAGGGAAGATATGGCGGCGAATAGAGGAGCGTGACACGGCCAATGTGTTTAAAGCTATAGACCAATGCTAGCCAAAAGACTTTTAGTTTAGAATAGACCAGGAGTGGTCAACTCCGGCCCTCCAGCTGTTGTGGGACTACAAGTCCCATGAGGCATTGCAAGACTCTGGCAGTTACAGGCATGACTCCCAGAGGCAGAGGCATGTTGGGACTTGTAGCTAAAGCACAGCCGGAGTGCCGGAGTTGCCCACCCCTGGTTTAGATAGAGCAGAGAAGGCTTAGTACAGAGTTGGGCAACCTCAGCACTCCAGCTGTTGTGGAACTACAAGTCCCATGAGGCAATACAAGACTCTGGCAGCGACAGGCATGGTTCCCAGAGGCATACTGGGATTTGTAGTGCCACCACAGCTGAAGTGCTGAGGCTGCATGAATAAATGGGGATTTGTGGCGTAGAAGAGGCGTTTGCTGTGCTAACAGGTGGCATAGACATTGGACCGTTCCCTGATTGTATCCAGCAAATGCATTGTTCTATTCTCCAGCTCTCGAAGTTCCTCCATTTTATTGTTCATGTCTTCTTCATTGGCTTTGAACTTTTTGCCAAGCGCTGAAAAACAAAGAGACAATGTAACAGATCATATAAAACCTACAATATGAAAACAAGGGACCATTAAACAGTTCATTGAGTACCCAGTGCCCAGCAGAACCCCCTATAGGAAGCCATCATCCCAGGAGGAAGGCTGAGTCCCCACCCCTTGGTAAACTCTGGGCTCCGGGATCCGCTTTATGTGCTATACCCCCTATCAGGTGATCTGGTCCTTGCTTATAAAGGTAGTTGCATCACAGGGATTGGGGGATATGTGCAATCCTTTGACTGCACAGTGTCCAACAGAACCCCCTATAGGAAGCCATCATCCCAGGAGGAAGGCTGGGTCCCCAATAATTGGTAAACTCTGGGATCCACTTTAGGTGCTATACCCCCCTATTAGGTGATCTGGTACAGCCTTATAAAGGTAGTTGCATCACAGGAGTGGGGGATATGTGCAATTCACTGACTGCACAGTGCCCAGCAGGACGCCCTATAGGAAGCCATCACCCCCGGAGGAAGGCTGGGTACCCACCACTTGGTAAATTCTGGGATCCACTGGGGGTGCTATACCTCCCTATTAGGTTATATGGTTCTTGCTTATAAGGGTAGTTGCATCACAGGGAATGGGGGATGTTTGCTCCATAACCCAATGTGACCTTAAAAGCAGGATACCCTTTTGAGTGGAGACAAGAAATCACCAAGAGGCATAAGCCTGCACTTTCTTAGAACCAATTAGGTCAGCAATCATCACTTGCACTTAAATTAAATCTTAAAGGGTATCAATGGTCAAAAACTAAAAATAAATATGTATTTCCTTAGGTTCTAGCCCACCCGGGTCGAGGACTGAGCGCTGTCGGACTCCTGAATGCCATTCGGGTCTGGGAGCTTCAGCTTTAGTATTAATATCTGTATAGGGTTTTCTGTGGTACTCGCAACGAATATCCGTAAACTCATCCGAAACTAATGAAAATTCGGATTTTGTCCAAATCCGAAACCCGAACTGAATTACATTTCGGATCCGAATCCCAAAATAACGAAATATCGGAACCAAAATAAATTTTTTCTGCAGCTTACATGTCTGTTAAATTGCACATATAAATTGGTCATGTATGTCTGTAAGCATCTGCATGGTTGTGCTGGGGACATCAGAGTGTAATCCAGGATGGAGCAGACTGCTCTGTAAACAGATTCTAAATAGGCCGGTCCTATATAAACTAAATGCATATAAACCACTAGAACATTATATGAGGATAGGTAGGACGGAGAAGGAGAACATATATCTGGAGAGCAGTCCAGGATATCTCAGTATATGAAGAAAGAATGGTCATATCACTTACTATCCAGCTTCTCCTTGGCTTCTATCGCTTTCTTTAGCAAGTCCTGAGCCTCGTCTTTTATCTGTTTTACTTTCTCCATGGCTGCCCCTGAGGAGGTGTCCACTCCTCCAACCTTCTTCTTCAAGTCTCTGTAATTCTTCTGGACCTCTTCCATCTCCTGGAAATTAGAACACACGACATGAGAATAATCATGGATAGAGAGGATTCTGGGAGTTATCCAAACTTCTGTAACATGCTCTGTGAGTCCATATTTTTAACTTTCAATAAATATGCCCACAAATATTATTTTGAGTTCATCAGGCAACAACAATGGGTCACATTCTTCAAGGTAACATTAAGAAGATCAGTCTATGTTGTCCATAGCAAAAAATGAAACTTCCATTGAAGGTTAGAAGATGAATGAGGCTCTTAAAGCGGATCTTTACACTCAAAAATCTATTTCTACCAATGCATCCCTCTATGTATGATGATTAATAATAGCATAGACATGTCAGGTGTAAAATGCTGTGATTGTGAAATACTGACACTTGCAGATAATTCACTTCCTGCTTTAAAAGGGCAAAATGACTTCAGTTTGGCAAAGCAATGCACACTGGGATTGCCTTGTCATCAGCGGAGCATTGCTGGGAAATCTCATCTGTAATCTCAGGAGATCTCAGGGAAAGGCATTTAACTCCCCTGTGATTATGTGCATGGTCACATGTTGTAGTCACAACGGTACTTGAATGTATTTGTAAGATTCAACTCCTGAGTTTAGTGTCACTTTCAGAAGGTGAGTCTGTGTTGTCCATAGCATGAGACTCTTACTGGACAATGTAGATAGGTCAGATGCTATGCAAAATGGCACCTATCCATATTCTAGGTGAAAGATGTCCTCATGTATGGTCATCTTATGTTTAGAATGAAGTAGACATCTACCAGTTCCTGAACTCCAGTTTTGTACCTTGTCAAGCCCCTCTGTGGCCAGCATAGCCTCTGTGGCCTTTTGGTTTGCTTCGTTGGCCTTCTGTCTGTTGGAATCTACTTTCTTTGTTAGAGCTTCCACCTCTGTGGCCAGCTTGGTCAACCGATCCATTATGGAGTTCTCCGTCTCCTCTACACTTGTAATTTTTTTCATGGACTGTAAAAAACACAACAGTAAGACAGGGCAGAGCACATATACAGTACATTTATATTTACAGAATATGCCATTGACATTAAATGGGACCTGTCATTCTACAGTAAACAAAGTATTACGGATATACATTTTTTAACATTAACATTTTACTAAACCAAACTCTCCAAGCCCAACACCATAACAATAGAGGGAAAGGTCCTCTTACATAGCTGTCACCAGCACCAGAACAGGTGTCCCCACTGCCCAAGGTGGTGATGGCTCATATACAAGTGATTGTCATCTAATGAGACTCGTATCTGCTGCATCAAGCACTGGCCTGGAATCAGTATAGAATAGTCTGAAGTAGCGATGCACTGATACCGATACTAGTAAAGGTGCCGATACCAAGTATTTGGCGGAGTACACGCCCAAATGCTCCGATGCCTAGTCCGATACCCGATCATCTGGTATCAGGAAGCCGGGCAGCGGGTCATAACACGCTGCCCGGCTTCCTGATTGGCCGGGAAGCCGGCCCCATGCTCCCTCGTCACTTGGTGATGAGTAAGCATGGAGATGGCTTCCCTGCTAATCAGGAAGCCAGATGGCGAGTCTTTACAGGCCGGCCGGCTAATCAGGATGCAAGGTGGCGAGTCATTACACGCCGCCTGGCTTCCTTAATGGGACTTCCAGTTTTGGTATTCGGCATCGGCGAGTACCGGAAAAAAAATATCTGTACTCGTACTCGATACCGAAAAACCGGTATCGGTGCATGCCTAGTCTGAAGGATGAAATATAATGCTGGTTGGTTGACTTTTATTGCTACACTGTACATACAGCGCTTTGCCTTATTTAAGGATTTGTACGGACATGACCCAAATTTACCCCCAAACTTCCCTCTCTACAGGCCAGCATGTCCAACCATTACTTTTTCTTTTTACCATGTTCCTGTAGAGGCAAACAGCTTCTATTACTCCCCATGTCATCACCAGGCTTGTAAAATTCTTACACCTATTGGGAGTTGTTGACGTAGGCACACGCCCAAACTTCCCTACATACAATGTGTGTGCAGGCTCTTGAGAGTCAAGGTAGCAGCATAGTTTTGCTGGGAAACAAATAGATGTATGTATGTGGAGAGAGACAGAGAGGGGCAGGAATAGGTGGGGCTCTGTAGTCTAACAGGCAGTGCTGACAACCCTGTTTGGGATTTCAGTGCAGCAGAGGCACTACGTTGTCAGCTCAAATGGAAAGTTAGCAGCAGGCTGCATTTCTGCCAGATCAACAGGTATTTTTCTTCACTTGCAGTTTCTAAAAGGAAGAAGCATAAGGAGATAGGCATGTATTGTAGAGATTTTTTACTTTGCCCAGATACACAGCAGGAATAAATAGTTTCAAACAGAAAGCAACACAGCGCACAGTAGTGCATAGTAATAACGGTAACCAGCTGTGCTAGAAACAATCCATTCAGACATTTTGGTGAGGAAGCATAATCGGGGGACAGATAAGGCAAACTGGGCCAATATCTGGAGTAAATGTACGCCCAAGTTAAAGATACGGCCATTATCACCGCTTATGACTTATCACCCGGCTCACATTAACCAACTGGATCCCTTCCTAAGCTGTGTAATCTCTGCTCTGATCTGACATATTGTAGGAAAGGAAGTAAGTCACTGTAATAGTAGAGAAAGGACACAGCCTGAGCAGTATGGGAAGAATAACAGGAAAGGGAGGGAGCCTCCATTGTAATACAGAGACAGCAACTACTCCTGTATGGTTAACCCATCACTGGTGCATGCAATAAACGAAGGCTGGTCACAACCGGCATATTATTCCCTGAAAACTGCTGGTGGACATTCTTCTGAGATATCCTCTTATCCTTGAAGGGGTCACATTAGCGCCAACATGCTCCATATGGCTTAATGCTGCCCGTCCACATGTAGCACTTTGATACTTTAATATGCATCATAAGGGGCCTATAGATATTAGATGGCAGAGAGTAGAGGGAGAGGAACGTTGGAGTCACCAGTTTCTATGGGCAATACAAGTGTCTCCAACTGTCAAGGGCACTCCCTATCGCCCTGTAGAGATCCAGAAATGGCCTCTAGGGCAGCACCCTTCAAAATTATCCAAAATCTTGAGGTTTTGCCAGTCTCAAATAAAAAAACAAAGTGTGGCCCCCTCCAAGATCCATACCAGACCCTTATCCAGCATAGGGGGTCTGGTATGGATATTAAAGTGAAGACTCCATGCAAAAACACAAAAAAAACATGGGGTTCACCCTTCACATCAGAGTCACCACTTCACATTAGAGTTCCCTTTTACATCAGAGTCCCCCTTTTACATCAGCATCCAT